GGGGCCCCTCCCTGGGATCTACCTGGGCCCCTCGCCCCTCCACCTATGAGTAGAATAGTTTGGCCCTGATAAGGATTGAGGATCGTGCCGACGACCCTGCGTCCAAATTTTAGGAGAATTTCGCTGGAATCGCACCGCATGTACAGCGAAATTCGCTACCGTCCAGAAGCCGAATGAATGACTCGCTCACCAAGCGCTCACTACAATCGCCCCAAACTGAAATAGTTTGAATGGCACTCCACTTGCCGCGCGGCCCCGCGCCCCCCTCCACTGGCCCGCAAGAGAGAAGCGCATCTAGCGAAGAGAGAGAAGGAAGGTGAGGGGCGAGGGGCGGACGATGGGAGGGGGCAGAGTCTGGTGCCCAGCCCCCACCATATCTTTTTAGCCAACCTCTGAAAGAAAAACTCGGCTCAGCAAACATCAGTGCAACGCAGTGCGCGGTTTCATTTACTAAATGGAGATGTTGGTAGGGGTGAAAATAACGCCAATGAATGGCAGTTGATTTGAATAAGATGTTGCAGTATTTTCCCGTTCGCGGTATAATTTCTGAATGTTGGTAGAAGAACAGACTCGGAGCTGTCTGCTGCCCGGCCGGCAGTCGCTGCTCCTCCGTCGCCGTGGCTGGGCGGCTGGTTCGGTTGGGCGCATCCTTTCCTTTCATTTTGGCCCGTCCCCCTAGTCCCCCGTGGCGTCCCACGGCGTCGCGTCCCGCCCCGTTCCGGTGAGGTGACTGTGTTCGGCCCCAGCGACGTGGACACGCCTGCTGTCAGCGAGCAGAGAGCAGCCCGACCCAGAGTCCTGGACCTTGTCGACGCTGGAGAGGCTGGAGCCTGGAGCACGAGGACCTCCTACCTCCTGTGAGCTCGGCATTCTGGAGAAGGCGTTACCTGACCCTGACGCCCCCATTGGGGTATTCAGCTAAAGCAGCCGCTCGTTTCCGCCCCCTCCGTCCGTCCAAAAGATTCACTTCATCCATTTGATCATCAATCTTTGTGTGCTCGTATTGGCATTGAAGTAAACCCAAGACATACGTGTTAGAAAAGTCGGCAGTCTAAAGACATACTATTTCATTGAACATTTCGACGTTGTTAAACTGTAAACGTGCATAAGTGAGGTTATGGTGTCAAGTTCTATCGAAAAATGCCCGTCTCACAACATTTTACCCCCTCCTCTGAAAATGTATTTTCAAAGCGTACTGAAAAGAGAACTTGGATGGTCGAACGTCACGGACGTAGGAGCGTTGGGCTTATCTGACGCCCCCCTTGACCACCTTGCCTGCCGCTGTCGCCGCGCCACCTGTGCGCTGCGCGGGGCGCTCCGTGACACGGCGATTAGAGCCCATCATGTCCAGGACGCACCTCGGCCGAAGGCGTGACGTGACGCGCGGCACGACGCGCTTCGGCCCGCGGCGCCCGGGCTCGCGGCGCGCGGGCCGCGGGGGTCAAGTGGCGGCGCCCGCGGCGCCTCGGCCGACGAGGGCTACGCCCATGAGCAGGACGCCGCCGGGGGTCAGCGCGCGCGGACAACGCCCCCCTCGGGGCCCTTGGTGGCGCATGGCGGCCCCACGCCGCCGTAGAGCGCCGACAGGCGGCGGCTGCCCAACTTCCATGGGCGATGCGATACGGACGGCTGTTTGTTATGTAAATGCCTTCGTCGTCGTCGTAGGGCCGAGCGAGCGGTGGCAGCGGGTGGCGGAGGGCGCCGAGCCGGCTGCCTTCTGCCTCTGCTGCTGCCGCTGCTGCCCCGCGGAGGTGTGGAGGCTGGAGCCGGAGGGGCCCGGCGGCGCAGGTGATGTAACCGGCCCTGGCGAGGCCCAGAGGAGAGGTCCACCCATCTGCTGGAAGCTGCGGCCGACTCCAGCGGCTGGAGGAAAGGGTATCCCCGCCATGTCCGTGGCCAGCCGGGCCGTGGGCTGGGCTCGGCTAGCTCCGGCTGCTCCGGCTTGGCTCCGGCCGGCGCACAGGTTGTTGGACCTCGACCCTCAGCTCGGCGCTCTGGAGCTAGCTCTGGAGTCGCTGGAGAAACATGCGGCCGGCCGGTAACGGTTCCACGCCCACCGCCTCGCCGGGCTTGTGTGGCGCCCATGGGCGTCCTAGGCTGCGGCTAGTGGGCCGCCTGAGAAGTAGGCAATTTGTGTCACGTGAACCCTGTGTGCGTTCCTGGACTCCTGGCCCTCGTGGGCGCCCTAGAAGTGCGCCCCTCTGCGTCATGGCCCTCGTGGGCGCCCTAGGATTGCGCCCCTCTGCTTATGGCCCCCATGGCTCGCCGAGTCGGGGCTTATCCGTAATCCTCAACAAAAACAATGGCGCTTGCGGCGCGCTAGTTTGGATTAGAAAGACGTAGGCCGGCGGCGCGTCGGGTGACCAGGTGGCTCGATTAGTTGGTTACAGCCATTTGCCGAACGCTCCCTCCGCGCTCTTACGTTATCTCCCCGGCGTCGGTCTGCCGCGGTGTATGTACCGCGTTTGTGGCGGCACAGGTAGATCTGTGATACATCTGATAAATGCCGGCTAGAGCGTAGCGAGATAATCGCCATCTAAAGCATAGCGCGCTACAAATACCACGATATCGCGAAATATCCGTTGACTGATTGGTCCCACCCTAGTCCCACCCCCACCCTCTTCCGTACACTTGGACTGTTCCGAACGCGAGCGGGGAAGGCTGACCATGACGCCTTGCGGCCGCGCAACCCGCACTCGAGCGTGCTGGGAGGTTTGCCTAACCTCTCACGACGCAGCACGCCCCGAGCGAGTAGGCGACCCGCGCTCGAGCGTGCTGGGAGGTTTGCCTATACCCTCTCACGATGCAGCACGCCCCGAGCGGGTAGGCGACCCGTTCGCACGCGTGGATGCGGTACAGTCTAACTTGAAAGGTGGGCTGGATCTGGATCGCCAGGGCGGGCCGAGCCATTCAGACAACTCAGGAATCATCGACGTATCGAGGTGATATCGATCGATAGATTTCGGTGTGAATGAGGG